ATTATGGACTGAGAGAAAATTTTTGGTGAATATTTAGCATTATGTTCTGATAAAATCTTTCAGAAATTAGTGTTTTAGTATAGATTCATGGTCATTCTTTTGGTAGATTTGGAGAAGTGTAGATTTATGACAACTTCAGGAAGGAATTCACGTTTATGTCTGAACATCAGGGGTTGATAGCAACTCTTTTTTTAGATCCAATAGCACTTCATTTCCAGAAACATCTCTTTTGTGGATTTTTATTGTAACAGACTGCTCAGCTGATACAAATCACAACAGACAAATTACAAAAGATATTGCAGGAAGAATGGATATCTTTAATTTATCTGTAATACACAACGCGAAAATATCATAGTCCTTACCTAAGAAAGTGATATTTGAAAACTTTCATTAATGCTTGGTGTTATGAAAGAAACCAGAAAATGTAATGCACCTTATTTCACTCAGCTATACAGTTCCTTTGGAAAAATACAGATTTTGCAACGCTGCAATGTTACCATTTTACAGAATTTACTGTATTTCCCTTGAGTACTATTAATGATAGGGAAGTCAAACTACTAAGGTGAGATACTACCTAATGGCATTATATTCATACCACCTTTCATAGACATCTGACAATTGTTTCAACAGACACACATGTAAATATATAACCACTTTCTGTTAGACATGAAAATAAGTGACATATGTACCCTATGGAACAGCTAGCATGCTGTAGGCTTTATTCCCTTTTTGTATGTATCATTTTACCTAATTAGGCCACAGGTACAAATTCTATCATCACAGAATACTAGGAGAATTGCCTGTTCATTTGTTTTCATGTTATCTGCAGTGTTTGTGTATTTAGATAATATTTTTGTGTACAGTTTTTTTCTTCTCAGGGCATGGCTGCACAACCGTAAGGACTTTTTACTTGTAAGACTCCATATAATTGTGTTCCAGATTGTATAGTGATGAAACTACGTATGAACTCAGTATTACAGAAACATAGTGAACTGTAGCTAAATGTAGTTTATGCAAAACTACAGGGATCTTGTATTCGATTTTTGTCAAGATTTTATTTAGTAGACTAATTTCACAATTATGAATTTCCTTAAGAATCACGTGGCTGTGGCCAGTTTAAGGGCAGTACTTTGCTTATACAAGCTAAGAAAAACAACAAAAGACTTCACTGAGACTAGTAACTTATATGTCGATATGGAGCAGGAGTTTCAGCCATTACACAGAAATGCTGACACGCAAAATACAAATTGTAAAGAGAGACATTTGAAGGCACTTGATAAGGTGAACAGATGGCTGTAGTCATACACAGCTAATAATAACTGATCACTGATGCGTAGAATATTATGAATACAGGTTCTTAAAGAACAACTGAAAATTATTGCTTCATTTGTTTTTGATATCTAAATTTGAAATCAGACGATAAGCCAGATTTAACTTACCAGAAGGCCGAGTGTTGCCAGGAAGGCGAACGCCACGAAAGTCTTCATTGTTGTTGTCTGGGGAGAGAGAAAGCAGAGAAGAATACAGAACCATAGCGCTAGCTCAATTTATACTCGAAATTAATGTCGCTGCAATCACAACGGTCCAATAGAAATCACCTTAGATAATTTGACATTCACTTATCATGTCTCGTCACTATCGTAATCTGTACATGATAATCGGGTGTCTGGTTTAAGATTTCTTTACGATTGTGCGTAATCTTTAATTACATATCTTGTATTTTGAGTTTACTGATAACAGTAAATTGATCCTATTTTGACAAAGGAGATTGTGGAACAATATGGGAAATACCACACAGAGCGACCTTTAATTTGCAAAATTCCAAGTAGTGTAGTACAGAATGACGTATTAAGACTGTCCTAAAAATAGAGCAAGATGTAAGAAGGTTGAAACATGGGTAATTTTACGTATGGTGTAACAATTTAGGGGACTTTGCTCTCGTTCACTTATAAATATTGAAGGTCACAAGGCTTACAGGAAAAACACATTTCACAAAAAAAGGTTACATTTTCCTTTCCAGTGTTCATTTAAAAATGTCGCTCCTTTAAATATATAGTGACTAAGGACTACTTACAGGACACTGTCACCTTGAAGGACACCCCATCAAACTTGAGAGTGGTGTCAAGAAGGAAATGAAACAGCCACACATATCCCGTGTGAATGTGAGGCCTTAGCTATTTAAGATTATGTCACTTGGGTCAATACTTTATGGAACCAAATGACTATTTCGACGCCCCCACGTACAAATCCTGCGCTTCGAATGCTGAGGGGATAATCAAAAAGGGAAGCACAATAGATCACTGTAGGTCGCGGTGCAAGGGCCGAGAAGGCCCACCCCTTACACATACATTCATTCATTCAGGGGTCAAGAAGCGCATATAAATACACATAAGTTTTCATACAAAGTTTCGCAGTACTGCTATCCGATTTTAACCAAAATTAGGCTGTGTCAATAAAATTTAGTACAATTCTCCACAGCAAAACTTCAAGAAATCCCGTTAAACTGTCCTCGAATTGTTGCATGAGGACTGACATTAAATTAGTTTTGGGGTCACGCGGTAGCGTAGTTCGTTGAGGCACAACGCTACAAGCCGGAAGGTTTCGGGTTAGATTCCCGATGAGGTCATCGGAATTTTCAGTCGACATTTCCAGCCGCACTATGGCCCTGGAGTTGACTCAGCCTCTAACGGAAATGAGCTCCAGGAATCTTCCTGTGGATAAAGGGTGGCGTCACGTTTTTCTCATCATCCCTTATAGTTCATACAGCATCATTAAATAAAATAACGAAATAATGTAGGATTTGAGGCGTCCACAGCGGTGGTTATGTATAGTTCTGTCTTCTGGAACATAACAACGGATTACTCGGCGTGGTACGCTAGACGATAGAACTCTTCATTGCATAAAAACGCATACCCAGGGCCGGTGTGAGGGCATAGATACCTAGGACGTCACGATTTTAGGGACAAGACATTTTAGAAATTCTTAAATTCTAATTTATGATTAATGGAAATTAATTTCTGCTGATAGTTTGTTCATATCGTGACCTTCAATTAAATTAACACCAATCTAAACTTTTCTTGTAAGAATATAAATAAAGCTCATTTAATAATCAGCACATCATTAACCGTTATCATCATGATGTGTGGAAATTTATTGTCATTAATTATGACGAAGTTATGATAAAGTTTGTTATTAATTGAGAGGTGCAATGGGGTTCTTTATGTCGGCCCTGAAAATATCCTTATATACAGCAGGCTCAGGCTTGTTCTGTCTTTACATAGCCCGGCAAGCAATTATGACTTTCTTGCAGACGATGTAGAGTTTGCATTTACGAACAGGAACAGAAGATATCAGCAAATAGGAAATTAGGCTTTAGCCGGTACACTCAAAAAGCCACACAAAATTGGTTTTCCACTTTATTTATTATTAAACTATTCTTAATAGACGTCACACAGACAATATACAATGATATAATTATATGCCATTACCTGGTTTCGACCTTCACATCAAAATATTTAACATCCAGTTCTCCAAAGGCATCCCAGTGCGCATGCGGGAAAATACGAGTATACTAATCACAGGATAATTAGTATAACGCTACAAGGCTGAAGACAGAAAGAAGATACCCTGAGTGGGAATGGATCCATATTAGGGCAGCTAAATCGAAGTGACGTAGTTTATATGTTACGGGATTTTCCTGATGATGACCTAAGTAAAGGTCGAAACATGTAGCATACACCAGCTTACAATGATTGAGTAGAGATACCACAACATCTATTCTGTTTCCACCTTGAAGACACCCTCCTTTATATTGTGTTGACGGCGTAATTCACATAATTTATGGACTCTGTTCACAGTCTAAGAGACTACTTTTCAGAAAGAGGATGTTTCCATCCTCAGGTGAAAAAGTGGGAATGTGCCTATTCAGTTTGCTCGGTTAGGTAGAGCTAATCCCATTCAGTGGACAAGTCTAGTTTCTGAAACATGGCGCCCAGTTCGGAATGCTAGACAACTTACGGAGTCACAATATTCAATAACACCAAGATTGTCAGAACTCCTTGGAGATATTGCCAGAGCTTGAGATGTCAGATACTGGGTTTTCACCAATTAGCCTTGGGTTTAATCCCAGATTACTTTGTATGTGATTTGTGAAGTGGTGCTCGTGCAAGGTTGGCTCAAGTTCCTTCGTTTTCCCCCTCCTAATCTTAATTTTATCATTGCTCCATACCCACTTGTCAAACGGTTTTCTGAATTATCACGTAAATTTCATCCACCTCTGGCGTCGAAATCCGACCTTCGAATTAGACTTAACGCTAAAAATTTTCGGACTTACTAATCAAAAATCGAATTCCGGACTTGAGATACCCAGCATACTGACTTAATGATCACTGGCCCTGACAACAGTCAGTGCAGGGTTAATAAATCTTACTGGTTGCAAGCTCTACAGTGAGGACGAAAGAGCTGCAGAGCAACCCAGCTAAGTCAGCTTCTTTATAGAGCCCAAGACACCCGGGGCCACACTTCTGGAGTCCTCTCCCAAATGGAGGTGCTCCCAAAAGCTTCCGTAACAAGAGTCCTCCTGTCTGAATTCGACGAGGGGCTCCATATATCGGGATTTGTTAAAATGTCGATTCAATTGTTTATTATGCATGTAAATGCTGTCGTGGTTCAAATCTTAACTATATACGATAGATGGTAAAATATTGTGACATGACGCCTGGAAGCCAGAGTAGACGTTTATTGTTAGCCAATGACTCCGTAAACAGGTTCCCGCTCCAACTCTTTGACCTTGAAGATGTAGGCAGTAGGTTTGTTCAAAATGTCAGTGAATATTTAACAAAGTACATGATATGGCATCCCAGGATACAGCACTCTTCATAGTTACTGCAGTGAGAACGTCAAACCCGACATAGATTTACTTTCCTTGTGTTCAGTGCGTTACCTGTACTTATATGCAAATTATAACATGTAGGGAGTACACATTTACAAAAATAATGAACATTGTATTTTTGAACGGTTTTATTCAGCAGTACATTTACATATTCATCATGGCATGGTCTTGCTTATGACAAACAGCAGTATTCATTTTCCATCATCAAAATGGACTGCATCAATCACTGTATTTGAATACCAGTTTTTTCCTCAATCCAATCCAGATAACTGGTGATTCTGGTGAAAGCAACAGGGTACCCCCTCTCACAGCCAAGTATATGACCAAAAGACACAATGCCAACTTCAGTGTAACGACCATCATCTTCCTGGAATACCAATGGGCCCCCACTGTCACCCTGAAACAAGACACAAATGTCAGCAGGCAATAATAAGGTGGGAAAAGTAAGATATTAGTAGACAAACAGCAGCTGAGATGAGATGCTTAAGAAATATGTAGCAAGAAAACATGATGAGAAAGAAAAAGAAATGAACAAGATGTTCTGGGAAGAACTGATGGCCTACTTTCCTTTAACATGACGTGGACAGCATGGAAAATGATGGTTCATATGATTCTTCGCTGTTACACATACAGTCACACAGACTGATGGGAGGGACTTCTGAACTATACCGCTGAGATGGGATCAGATGCCATTATGTACATACCAAGTTTCATAAAGACTGGTTCAGGCATTCAAAAGTTGATAGAAGGAATTCACAGACACACAGATAGCATGGTTGTCTCACAGGCCTACTTTTGTTTTGTTTTTTTTAAATAAGGAAGAGGGCAGAATTGAAAGATAAAGACTCGCCTATTACGCGAGCGCTACGTTACCGCCACGTGCCGCTGGGGAGGTAGGGGTCCTCCGTTGCACAACGTGTCACAGTATATTGGCTTGTAAATAATAACAGAACAAGATGGCAAGGGCATATATTAAGAATTAACAAAGAGAATCTTGAGGAAGTTTTAGCACATGAAAATAAAAAGAAAATGCCCTGCAGGAAGACAAAGATCAGGATGGAAACTGGTTAAGGAATATGTCATACAGAAGGAAGGAGGATTATGGGAGGAAATTTAGGAGAATCTCTGGGAAGAGAGAGAGATGTAGAACCTTGGTTGTTAGGGAGCATACACAAGAATGAAAGTGTCAAAGGGAGAAAATTGTCGAACTTTAATTAATTTAGAGTTATGTCTTCTGGGATATGACACCATAATTCACTGAAGAATAGCTAACGTTTCAGAGGAATGAATCGCCTCCATCTTCAGGGTCGAAGCATAAGACAAGCAAAGAGACCAATATAAAACAGAGCTCAAGTTGTTCCCTGCTTCATGCTGTTTCCTTGTTTGTCTTATTCCACTGACATGTCGGTTATTTTTTGAAGGACTATGTGGCGTTACATCCCACAAGACAAAACTCTTCATGATCATTGCTGTGAAAACCTCAGATCTCTCAGTAATTACACTATGTTAACAAGTAAAAAGAAAACATAATTGTAAATAGAATATAAGTGATGAAATTTGACAATATACTTGTTTTAATTTCTTGCATGTGGTGATGTTAATGTTATTTATTTGAGATGTGATGCAGTGATGAAAAACTCAATTTTAAAATCATCATTTTTACCATTTTCAGCAATATTCATAATACGTAATACTAAATTTACAGTCTTGTAATGTTTGTCTGATTTTAAAACAAGTTTGAATTGAAGACAGCAGTCTTCTGGGATGTGACACCGTGTATATGTGGTGTTAACCTACGTTTTGGAGGAACATATCGCCTCCATCTTCAGGCTAGAAGGTAAAATAAGAACTGCAGTCTGCTTGTACCAGTTCTCATGGTCTCTTCGTTTGCGGATTTCTTATTTTTCCTTCTACCCTGAAGATGGAGGCGATACGTTCCTCCGAAACGTCGGTTAACACCACATCTACATGGTGCCACATCCCAGAAGACTGCTTTCTTCATAGTCACCGCTGTGAAAACCTCAAATCTTACGAAGTTTGAATTTGTTGACTAATGTTAGTAAACTGCCCAATATCAAATTTTCATAAAATCTTTTATGTGATACACAAGTTGTTTCATGTCCACATACAGAGGGACATAGCAGAATGAACAGATGCTTTAGAGGGTTAGGAATGCAACTGAAAAAAATGAGCAACTCTGTTGTTTACAGATTCATGAGGAATTAATTATGATACATCAGTCTGGTGATCATGAAATACTCACATTACAAGGGCTTTTCAAATCACCTGTTGAGACACATATCTTGGTGTCTGTTATGAGTTCGCCAAAAACTTCTTGGCATACACTATTGGTTATTACTGACAAATCTACATACTGGAGTGTACTGGAAATTTCTGAACAGTCTGAAAAAATAGAGACATTTATATGTACAGTGGAATCATCATTTATTTTATTTATATATTTATTGTCCAGTTTTAGGGGTTTCCCACATATAACATTCAATTTCACTGATCCCAAATCAGTAATCTCAGTGTAATTTCTTCCACTTATGTTTTTCCTCAGTTGAGTGTTCATATCAACTGCTCCTTGACAAAAATTTTAACAGGGATTTTGCTACATTTAATTTGTCATAAGAAAGTTGCTCAAACGCTTTCTGAACCAAAGTATTTCCAGCCTTACTGCATTTTCTCTTACTTTGAAATCAACCAAGTACTGGGTCAGAAATGAAGTCCCAAATTAAAGACTGAGAAGATATTAATGTGTTACAAGATCAGGACTATCATATGCTTCTGGGGGCAGTGACAGGTGGGAATGAAGCAATGGCAGATTGATGATCAGCAGCGGAAAATGTAAGTTAACTGAGAGAAAACCCTGCTTCTTAATCACTTTCTCTCTCACAAAAAATAACACAAAATCTCACAGAATGAACTCAGGGTTCCATGGTGAGAATCCAGTGTCAAACTGCCTGAAGTATGGTTCAGTCCACTGCAGTACACAAACTTGTTTCTAGATATATGGCACCACAAATGTGTCCTGCCAAAATCTGAACTACCCACTCACATCCTGAACTGGAAATTACCAACCTTTTTATTAGCTTACATTTCAGAATGCAAAAATAACTTATAATTTAATAGTCATTTTTGTGTCTGCTTGCTTCATAGTGTGTAACTGGATTAGGCTTGCTTCAAGCTCAATTCTTGGATAATGGTTCAGCTGAACTGATGTGAATGGATTCCTGCACACCCTTGATGATAGAGCATCTTTCTCTGTAACTCTCAATGTTATTTGTATGGTAAAATAAAAATTATTTTTAAGAAACCTGAATATTCATTACCACATTGAAACACTTACTGTATCCTGAGATAATATAACAAGGATCACAGTCTATTTATTCAAGTCCTATGTTAATATTATCATTCCATCTACATCTAGGACACCAAGCATGGTGGTTCAAGCAGTAATGGTCTTCACTTGTATTTGGGTAATGCCCAGTTCAGTTCTTGGCTGCGACACTGGCTATGCTGAATGAGGATTTTCATGGTTACCCTTATTGCCTCCAGGCAAATGCTGGGGTAGTAATTCAAGTAAGGCCATAATGGCTTCCTTCCTCATCCATTTCAATCCACTGTTCAATAACCATCCTACCATTTGACAATATATAATCTTAGATATTGACATTGTTAGAGCTGAAAGTTGGTGACAATGATATTATTATACAGCTATTGTGTTTCTGGACATTATCCACCATCCTATTTTTATTTACAACACACAATGTTTTGGAAGCTAGACTCCATCTCAATCTTTAAATGGAACCTACTCAGTTGGGCCCAACTCATAGAACTAGTCTAGTTTCTGAAACATTGCGCATTTTGAATATAAACAGGTTGAGGGATAATGTCTAGAAACACAATAGTTGTATTGAAAATGCTTTTGAGTAAATCATAAATAAGTATCACACATTTATGATAGCAAAGTGGTCTCATTTTGTGAGATATTTTATCAAAATTATGTTTGTTTATTGTTTCTTGGAGCATGTCACATATCATATCCAATTTTTTTTTTATTTAATCACCCTACCAATGATAAAGTCATCAACAGACATTGTGAAGCTGCCATGTACTTACCATCACAAATTATTCCCCACCCACTGCACCGAAGAGTTTCACCAACTAAGGTGTCATTGACTTGAGCGCGAGAAGGCAGTCTTGCCGGGAGGATATAAACTGAAACATTTCATACAATGGGACTAACAGTCAAGTTGCATTACATCACAATTGTGTTCATTTTCTTAAGTTGTAGGAAACATTTTCATGACAGAAGATACTGTAATTGAACAGAAATTAATGATATCATCTTTGTAAGTTTTGAGGTTTTCACGGCGATGACTATGAAGAAAGTCGTCTTGTGGGTTTTGGCGCTGTGTATTCTTCGTTTTGGCCATTCACCTGCTCCGAAGATTGAGGCGATACGTTCCTCCGAAACGTCGGCCAAAACGAAGAATACACGACGCCAAAACCCAGAAGACGACATTCTTTAATGATATCATCGTTCAAAAAAATATATTCTGATGAAAATAATTGTAATTAAATTATTAAGAAATATTAATTTACATACNTCGGTTAACACCACATATACACGGTGTCAAATCCCAGAAGACTGCTTTCTTCATAGTCACTGCCGTGAAAGCCTCAAATTTTACATACATACTGATATGTTTGGGTAAGAATGAGCTGGATGCCTGCATATGTGGAACCAACTAATTAGTTATAAATTGCTTTACTGAAGCATAAACATAACAGCAGTGAAGAGAAGGGTAAACAATTATGAACTTCAACAAAAATGAAAGTTATGAAATAAACGACGTCCTTATAAACTCAGATACAAGAAACAGTTAATGATAACAAATACATAAATGTACATCTCATATCATTTTTTTTTTAAATATTATAAAAAAATAGCTAGGTGGTACAGTGACAACAAATGTTTGAAAACTTTTGTACAGCTCCCTTAATAAGAATATTGACACACTTACGGGTAAAGTCTATCATCTGGGGTAGCTTGATGAGAGCAATATCGTTGTTGATGCGGGATGAATCATATTCTTCATGAATGAAACTAGTTCTTGATTGGAGTGTTCGAGAGCCAGGACTGAGAATATCCACTTGGCTGCTCCCCAGTGTCACGTCAAATGAAGTAAAATTGATACTGGTGAAACAACATAACATAAATATAAATCATGTTGGATTTGGAGTTCACACAATGGTGATTATTGAGCGTACTGTCTTCTGAGACATGATGTTATGTAGTCTGCTAGAAGTTCACTGTTTCAGAAGAACATGAGTAAAATTCTACTGGACGTCACAGTGTCAAATTCAAGAAAACAGTGTTTTTTTTATAATAAAGTATTTCAGAGGAATGCATTCATTTGTAGTGCAGTAGGGTTAGTTCTGAAGTTTTTTCTTTCTTCTCCCTTTGCGAGTACAACTGGCTAACTTCATGCAGTACAGCCATTTTTGTGAAGCTTATAGCTCCTCAGTTAAGAAATTTCAGACATTTTATGGAATATGGAAGTTCATTACCATACTCACAACAGCCTTCCACTGGTTCCTGCCCTGAGCCAGATGAATCCAGTCAAAACTCTGGTAATATTATCCTTACATCCATGTATCATACTTCTAAGTGATCTCTATTTTCCAAGTTTTATGATGCATTAATATTCTTCCTATGCATGCTGCATGCCCTGCCTATCTCATCCCTTTGATTACATCATCTTTACAGTATCTGATAAACAGCGCATACTGCAAGATATTAACTGCACTCTTCTCTCAAGTTTTCCATTTGTAGGTCTAATATTCTCCTCAGCACTCTGTCATTCACCATTTCTTGAAGTGGACTAAAGTCAAATATTGCACTACGAGATAATGGATGCTTGTTTGATGTCAGTTGAATATCACAGCAGTAGAGCTGAACATGCTCTACTATAATGTAAATAAAGTTGCATAGGAACTGAGGTTCTGACACCGGTGGTCATGAAGAGTTCTATCTTCTGTGATATAATGCCGTGTAGTCTGTTGAAAGTCATCCAGTTCTCAAGCTGGCTTCTTGCTCTGCTTATTCTTCAACCCTGAAGATGGAGGAGATATATAACCCCGAAATGCTGGCTGATTTTCAGAACACTACATGGCATTATATTCCAGAAGATACTACTCTTCATAAATAAAACTGTTTCAAGGATTACAACACCAATGATAATTCTTGCCACATTGTCTGAACATTTTGTATTATTAATTGTGGGCAAATTTTAAGAAAATTTCTGCTTTTGATTGGAAAGGAGACAGAATTTCTCATTGCATGGGGCACAGCTAAGTCTGGGTGGCCATGCTTGCATGTTATATTACTGAAACCAAGAACAAATTAATAGAAATGCTGTGCATTTCCCAGTGTTCTCTGTTCTTAAGAGTATAAAATGTGTTAAGAGACAGAGAAATTAATACCATAACAATTGTCAGTGTGAACGTTGTTTATGGGGGTATCAAAGGAAACAGAACTCACGCACAGTGTGCCGCAGTAAGAACCCAGTCATCAGAAATGAGGGAGCCACCACAGAAATAAGAGTTGTCAATTATAATGGCCACCTGCCAGGGGAATTGGCCATGCGTCGCAGTGTAGCCATTGGTGATATGAGGCTCTGCATCAAACACGTGGATTTTTCCAGTGAAATCTGAACAAAAAAAAATTCCCTAACATAAATTTCACAAAATTCTTCATCATAATGCACAAATTTACTCTATGCAAAACTACGTAATACACAGATATTGTTAAGAATCTGACTTTCCTCAAATAAGGTACTGGAGAGACGATGATGATTAAAATTTCCATTCAAGGTACGCTGTTGAGAGTACCCTCACTTTCTCAACTGTTGCCCGAAAGTTTGCAAAAAAAATTAAAGGCAAGGTAAAGTCACCGTGCTTAATTAAGAACCAAGTAGAAGCACAGATTCATGTATATATAACCTTGTCTGTATGTGGGGGAGGTAAGTGGTCAGCTTCATGATCCATCCACTTAAACCAAGGTAAAGAGCCCCCTGTATCCATTGGACAACAAGCTGTTTGGTCCCCATGGGCAGTCTTGAAGTTTTGAGCAAGAGAAGAATCTCTTGCTGCTGTCCAGAATCGAACCCTGATTCCCCAGTTGTTCAGCTCATACATTAGTCTCTCTACTGGTCTAGGTATCCCAGGTCTTGAAGCAGAATTTGAAACACAAAACTGTAGATCTAACATTAGATGACATAATGGAGAAGTATCCCAGAATAGATCACAACACTTTTATTTGATTAATCATACTGTGGCATGCAGACCCACTGTAAGGGGTTGAGTGACAAACACAGTTCCGTAGAGATGGGTGCTTGGAAACCAACTCATTATGGAACATGTTTCCTGGGATAAGAAAATGAAATATGTTTCCAGCACATCACTGTGTTATCAACAGGTGTTTCTGTGGATAATGATACGCTATAAAAGGCAGTTTTAAATCAAAATTGAGGCAGTCGTAGTTCAAGTCAGTCACAGACCAGATCAGAATACAGAGATAACAGACCACATCAGCATAGAGTGAGTCCTGGGCAGTCATTTACTGCAAGCTATTGTAATTGCTTGTGATTCTGAGTGAGTGTACAAGAAAGTGTTAATAAACCCAATCCTCCAATCCAAACCCCGTTATTATTAGTCACGACCATAAATATATGATTAACTATTATTCAACACTGCATAGTCTGAGCTAATGACTTGAGTATGTAACTTTGTGGAACAGAGAACAGTTACTCAGCCAGTCAAGACATTTACAGAATCTGAATATTCATCACCATGTTCACAAGAGCCAGTCAACCATCTCTCTCTCCTGAGCCAGATGAATCCAGGCCACATACTACAACTATACTTCTTTGAGATAAGTTTCAATATTAACTTTATATCTTTGTTCATGTCTTACACATTTTCATACCAGAAACTGTAGCATTTTTTCTATGGTATGCATACTACATGCCCAACTCATCTCATTCTCCTTGATTTGATGTAATAATTTTTTGCTGAGTACATTTTATAAAACTCCGTTTTATGCGACCTAGTTCGGACTCCTATTATATCCTCCCTTCTGGTTCAAATATTCTGCACAAAAGCCTATTCTGAAACACCCTCACTGAATTTTCTTGTAATGGGAGAGACCAAGTTTTACAACCAAGATGCAGGCATCATTAAAATAATCCATAAATAAATATAAAATATCACCTGTTTGGGGTTTGATGACATTACTGAATCCAGGGAGATGTTTGGGGCTTGGTGTACGTGCCCCCATGATAGTGTTCCAGTCTTCCGCAGTGTGTCTTGGGTCAACAGGCACCAGAATGTTAAGGGAATGGAGGTCTTCTGGTCTTGCCTGAGCCTGCTCAAGCAACATCGAGATCAATATGCAAGATTTGGTGTGACCCAGACGGTCACGAGGCACCCAATATACAATCATGTAAGGAACCTGCCATGTATACATGTATAGTTCCCAAATGTCTGACTTGTGACTTTACATTCCTGCTTGGTCCTGAGGTACATTTAATTCAGATGCAGATCTATTCACATTTTGCTATTTTCTGGGTTGTTACAGCGTTTAATCTCTTATATTTTCACAAATGTTTCGGAGTAAACTACTGCCTCCAACTTCAGAGTAAAAGTACATTTCCTTACATCGTCATTAGAAATTGAATATATTTTTGCAGGATTTTACGTTCTCTCACCTGAGACTACTATATTTTGGGCTGTGATGGCGGTGTTACACCCCAGAAGATAATATTGTTTACATTAAACTCAATTTTCAACATACCTTCATAACCAAAATTGACATACGTTGAACACAGAGAAGTTTTATTTTTCAAGGTTTTCTAGTCAATGTATGACGTATCCTCATACATATTTTAGATAGAGACTACTTAAAAGTTGTACTTTATTTTTTTTTTCTTCTGGGGGTGTTCAAAAACCAGCACCTCTTTTTCCTAATTTGAAAACAATTACATACATTAAATAACCCGTTTTGGGGGAACAATCCTGTATAAATTCAGTGGCATAATGTTCATACCAAATGTTATCAACATTAAGTAACTGTTTCTACAGCTGAAATAGGGACATGCGCGATTGTGGGTACATCCCCTTCCTCCCACAGAAAAAGATGAAAATCATTCGTGTGGCAACAATCACACAGCTGAAACGCGACGAGCGATATGCAGCCTTTCGATTTGTTTTCAACTGCCACTTCGTCTGCGATCGCAGACGTCCCTATTATTGATCCCACAATTCCAGTCTGGTAAGACGTAATCAGTCATTTTTGTGTCAAAGATGGTTCCCATTTCCCTCATATTTGAAAGTCATTCAGGCTCCTTGATCCTACCTTGTAGCTTATTTTGCTTAGAGGTAAATTCTGCTGCATATGGTCGAGGTAAAACCAAAACTGCTTTGACACGAGTGGCTAAAATGAGTTTCCAGTGATAGAACACAAATTTGGGCCCACTTCCAGCACTAAAATTGCTACTGAAATAAGGCTTATATGTAAGAAATATTAATTTTATATCCCAACTGATATCTTACCAGAAGACCGGAAGTTGCCACCAAAAATAGAACTTCGAATCCTTTCATTGTTGCTTTTCCTCAGGGAGACACTTCACTGGGCCAGTTTATATCGTAAACTAGTTTCATTTTACATCATTCATGGAATTATATTTGAGATAAACCTACCTACTTTCTTTTACTCTCCGTGGTGACGTTACTAATAAACAACAATACGTGCGTAATGTGAGAATATCATAAAAATTAGTTTAAGCTTTAACTACGAGATAAATGAGCCATAAAATAAATTCTGGTATCTCTAGAACATTTGGCTACTCGTATAAGGTAGGATCATGATTAATTAGGAAATCCATCTGATACGAAGCTAAGCTTTTCAAGTGAAACCGAAGCTTCTGTGTAATGCATGACGTATCGACTTTTAACAAATACTCGCATTTCTGTTTCGAGACTTACAGAGCGAATGAATCGGCAAGATATTTGACCTTTTTTTTTTTACGTTTTCAATTAATATTATTTTCAAATTTATACCTACAGTAAAAATGAAGACCAGTGATTTATGAAAAGTTACAAAGAGCACATTCATATCAAGATTACTGTTAAAGAAAGCAGTTTTCTGGGATTTGGCACCGTGTATATGTGGTGTTAACCGACGTTTCGGAGGAACGTATCGCCTCCATCTTCAGGATAGAAGGAAAAATATAAGAAATCCGCAAGCGAAGAGACCATGAGAACAAGTAAAAGCAGTTTTCCAACACCAATCTGCTTGTACCGGTTCTCACGGTCTCTTCGATTGCGGATTTTCTTATTTTTCTTTCTACCCTGAAGATGGAGGCGATACGACGTCGGTTAACACCACATCTACACGGTGCCACATCCCAGAAGACTGATTTCTTCATAGTCACCGCTATGAAAACCTCAAATCTTACATTCACACTCTGTTTCTGTCAGATGGAGGTAAGACATAAGAATTAGTGACAAAATTGTGTTCATATCTGACGGGAATTTCCATGTAGCTACTTAATCTTACCAGATGACTTACAGAATTAGTCTTTGTTGTTGGAATTCAGTGACAGTTTATCCCCATGAATGGAGATAAAGAAACATAAAATTATCTTTGGCCAGGGATTATATTAATCTTGGAATTCAATAAAACAAAACGGGTTTTCTTATGCTCCCAATTCTTTCAAATCTATTTGCACTGGTGACATATTCCAGTGCAGTTTCTCCTCACAAGACATTTGTACCTCAAGTTCCTGTCAAATCATCAGATTGTCTTTATATTTCATTTAAGATCTCAGGTTCTGATGGCGCTGAATATGACTACTACTGTCTTCTGGCATGTAACACCACGTAGTGTACCAGAAAGTTGCCAACACTTCGGAGTAAACTTCTGCCTCAGTGTTCAGGGTAAATGAATATATTAAAGAAGGAAAAAAGTCAGTGGTACCACAGAAACTGTAACGCTACATGTAATAGCAAAGTAAAGGAATCTTCACTGAATCCATGGTCTAAGTTTCCAAGTAATCCATTCCAGTAATTTAGTGCAATGATCCATTCCTGTAAATCACAAAAAGAAGAAAAAAACACGTTGTTTGTTCTTTCGAAATCAGTTTCATATAAACGTATCCTGGCTAATTCTTAAGCTGGTCTTGTCATTACGTCACACATAGATCAGGGCTGGAAATGTGGAGAAGCAGGCGGAAGCTGCCAGTTAACCTCCACAGCGCTTCATTTTGAGGAAGCCGTTTACGGTTCCTTAGGACGCACAGCCACCTTTTCCAACAGTTATACATGTAGGAACCAGCAACCGAGCTTACAATACAATGATTCGGTTTTAATATTGTTACGTGTTAAGTGACTATAGATGGTGCCTGATTGGTAATCAGATTTATCGCATCCTCATATCTCGTAACTACAGATAACTACAACAGTTCCACTAGTTCCCGCACTTCACTATTCACTGTTTCCCCAGTGTTCACTAGGTGCTGCCTAGCAACGGTTCCTTAGCTTCCGTGTTCAGCGGCTTCTGCTCTCGCTGGCTGGCGCCTATCTCGCAATTACGTGGACTCCTCCCGCGCTTCCGCTAGGGGGCGACTTTGTTACACTCGGACTCTCTCGGACTGCCTGCCTCCGTTAAATTCCTGCTTGCCCTCGCTAGCACAAAGATCTTTTGGTTTTGGGTCCCATGAGACTCATGACCATATTTTACTGCCTGAGGGCTCTGGGAGCCTTCTGGTTCCGTCGTTCATTCGAACTCAGCTGGATTCCGGTTCTCTGCTTACTTCTGAACTGCATCGCCTATCTAGTTCTGAACTGAGCGTCTACTTAGTCCTGAACTGGATCGCCTATCTGGTTCTGAACTGGAGCGCTTATCTAGTTCTGAACTGGAGCGTCTACTTAGTTCTGAACTGGAGCGCCTATCTAGTTCTGAACTGGAGCGTCTACTTAGTTCTGAACTGGAGCGTGTACTTAGTTCTGAACTGGAACGTCTACTTAGTTCTGAACTGGAGCGCCCATCTAGTCCTGAAGTGGCAAATGTACCTAGTCGGAAACTATCCGATAGTTCAGGGGCTGATACTAGTTCACAGGCGGATGAAAGAGTGTTACCTCCACATAAAGCGTCCTTTCTTTCATTTTGTATAAACGCGTAATAACATGCCTATTGTTTTATCAGGTTGTGATAACACTGGACTCCGTCCTCAGGTAAAGGCATAGTCATCTGGCCCAGTCGCTAGAGCTAGTCCTTATCTCCAGACCAAGGATATGAGAATTTGTCGGGATCCACGTGGATTCGGATACGCACGTGTCACAAGAACAAGAACTCCTCTTTGTCTTTTTCTAACTGAAGAAATGCATCAATCTACAAGGTTATATGATATTAAATTCATTGTGGTAGGATGAATAAAGCAAGGGATATAGAATAAAAAGTCTTGTTCTGATTTCACTCTTCAAAGTCCAGTGGTTACTATATGTACCATATGCTTTAACATACCAAAATTCCGCATTCTGCCCACACAGTGTATCTGTGTGTTCCGTATGGTTCTCACAATAAATAACAAGTGTTTCCCTAAACAGCATTAACCGGCTGGGCTTTGTAGTGGTGACAATGTGTTTCCTATAAGGTACGGACTGAATTGGTATATATTCTGCCCACAGAGTGTATCTGTGTGTTCCGTATGGTTCTCACAATAAACAACAAGTGTTTCCCTAAACAGCATTAACTGGTTGGGCTTTGTAGTGGAGACGTGATGTGTTTCCTGTGAGGTACGGGCTGAATGTTTAAATGTCGTTTATATAAAATGCATATCTTAAAAGGTTAAGTCACTGTTCTACTGTTGAAAATTGAATACAAAACCCACCATAAATCTTGACAAGGATAGTAGGTCCATTAAATATTTGCAATGGAATATTAGTATTAAGCAATTTTATTATTAGTTTTATGTTTATGTACATAGTCTCACTTTCACAATGATGTATTTAAGTTATAAATATTACTAAAACTGAAGTGACACTTTACTGTTTTTTGGGATTATGGTATTCTGAGTTTTGAGTATTCGATATCAGCATCTTTCTTTGGAGTGGGGCTACATTTCGATGCTGACAGCAGCTAGACTATACAGCGTCTGATTGTACGAAAACAGGTGAAAGGGTTTTGAAAGAATTCCGAAGGAATTAGTCGTGACCTGATTTAAGGTCTAGATTCTCATTCTACTGAATGGACTGAGGAAAACGACGATAAACCTAAGTCTCGGAGGATTTTATAACCGAGCACCTATAGAATAAGAATCATGAGCATTACCGCAATGATAACCTTCTCTGATACACTATATCATAATACAGAACACCAAATTGTAACAAGTCTCATAATTTAGCTTGAATTCACATAGTGAATTGTGAATAGGGGTGTATTTACATGTGTTGCATTTCAGTTTTGTTTTTCAAAACTGACATCTGTCAAGCAATGTTTATGCCTGTGGCTGATTGAATCCAGCTTAAATAGCTGGTCACTCTTGTGAAAGCGGCAGGATAGCCTCTCTGGCAGCCAGCTGTAGACCCGAAAGAGACAACACCAACCTGAGTATAGATGTCACTGTCATCACCATATACAAGTGGGCCTCCACTGTCACCCTGTAACACAGAAAAGAAATCGTGGTTTGTGTGCAGAAACACATTTCGGCTCTTGAAAACAGATTATTACAAAAATATCTTTGCTGTAGGGGTGTCGGGTCGGTTGTAATGTAGACAACAGGCCGTGCAGTTTGGTTCAGTCTGTCCGCACTGTGGCTTATAGCGAATAAAGTTACAAAATACACGTGCTTACAAGTTAACAATGTAAGTAAGTGTACTGCTATTGGATCTCGTATAATGATGTTTTCAGAAAGGAGAGTAAAAACTACAGACAGTGATATTATCCCTCCAATAACTGTTATAACTATATGTTTTCGCTTACTGTGGGATGGAGTCCAACTGGGTCCACTCGGCACGGCGGCCACTGATTGGCATATTGTAGCCTGCTCCGGGTGATTATGATGATGGAGAATTTGGTGGAATGAAGATTGACAGGGGAAACCGAAGTACTCGGAGAAAACCTGCCCCAGCGCCACTTTTACACCACAAATCCCACTTGACCAGACCCCGGATCGAACCCGAGCCGCCGCCGCGGGAAGCCAGCGACTAACCGCTTGAGCTTTGGCGCGGCCTATAACTATCTAACTAACTGCATGGAGCTGAGCCCTTCTTGAGAAGCTACTCAAGAACTTCCCAGCAATTTATTGAATCCGAAGGTTCATCACCGTGTTCACAAAAGCCATCCACTGGTCCCTGTTCTGAACCAGATCAGTTCAGTCCGTACCACATCCATCCACTCTAAGATCCACCCACCCCCATCTTGGTCTTCCCAGTGGTCTCTTTCCTTTTGGCTTTCCATCAATATCCTATATGCATTCCTCTTCTCCCCATTCGTGCTACATTTCCTGCCCATTTCATAACCTGCTTCAGATATGCTCTGACGGAGAATACGAAAACTGAATATTTGTAACCACTCTACCACGGTCGCTTCGAGGCCCACAGGGTAGTGAGACGTCGAGGCATCCACATTCTCTAGACAAAAGGCTCACAGAT